GTTGTGATCCTTGGCCTGTTTCCACTCAAATTAGACTATTAATTCGCCAAAAACGGACAAATCCAAAGTTATCATGAAATCATTATTTTGCCTTGCGATCCCACTTAATCATAAATTCTAACTCCTTATGCACTTCATCAAAAGGTATGGACGTTTTCCACAATAACAGTGAAAGGTGAGTACGTTATGTGTTAATTACCCGTGTTTAAATGTTGTTGCCTCAAACAATCTGCAAAACTATATATATCCGAATTTTACCCTTTTTAGTAGAATAACAATTGGATGCTACAATGGTGAGAGAGCTGAAATCAGTGATTATTTTGCCCAGGGATCCAATTCTTCCGAGTTTAAATCACTCTATATTTTGTTTTTTAACAAAAAAACACTTTGATTGTTCGTCATATTTATTTAATAAGATTAGAGAACAGTTTTGTCTATAAATACAAATGCACCATACAATTTTGAACAACAATAAATTATTATTCAATATGTACAAAACATGATTATTCAATTATTGTTATTATTTATTACATAATTCTTATTACAAGAATTTCACGTAACGCTTCTGCACCAATTTTGGATGGATTGAGATAGTTGGTTTTGTAGTTGAATGACATACTAACACAAGTTGTTGATAATATTGTAATTACCAAAGCAGTGAAGAAAGGAAGCTCTCCGTCCTCTTTTGCTGAGATGCTGCAAAATCTGATCATTATGTGTTGATATTTCGTTCTCACATATTAATTTTAATTTTTCTGAAGGTAGATGAGACATTTCAGCTGCACGAGTCACCTTAAATTATGTTTATATTTATTTACAGTGAATAGATTTTGTGCTTGAAAATTTCCTTTATACCTCAAGAATACTGAAGAAGTTTCGTTCTCGAACCAGTGTACATTCAATGCAAAAATTTACTTTCGCACCTCGGCCAACGAGCTTATGTTGAAATGAGAGATACCTTGCTCGTCGAAGCGTCATTTAGCAATGAAGCTTGCAAAATCTGTTATTGGCAAAAACACAATTTAAGGCCGTGGCCACCAAAAGGTATAAATGCCTCGGACTAAGTCTTGGATATGGGCGAAAGCGTTCGTATGAATTTTGACACAATCAACATAGATTCAATGCAATAAATTCATGTGTGCGCAACAAGTTGTTTGACAAATGCGAGGAGCACAAAGCTAAACAGACTTTTGGAAATTGGATTTGAAAATTAAGATTCAATATTTCGCTCTTTAAAAGGTAATCTCGAATCAAGGCAAACTAAGAACTAACCCTTTCGAAAATTCTAACATTCTCCAAACGAGGATTTTGAAGCAAAATAACACTGATAACCCCATCTTTCTTCTTTCTACAAACCATTAGCTCCTAAAAAACCAACCCCCCACCTCCAAAAAAAGAGGGCAAATCCTGCCGACAAAAAAAAAAATTGACATTAATTTTGAAAAATAATTTGCCCTTTTGAGGTCATCACGTTGTACAAATGATATATATAGAGTTAGACTTTTTAAACAATAGATGAGCATTGTATATCACTAATGGACCGGTAAATTCCATGAATTTCAAAATAAATATTTGATAAAAAAAAAAGGATTAAATCTACCTTGCTGAAAAATCAGGTTACAATCCCAAGTGATAGCAGATACAAAAAATAAAAAATAATAATAGTAATAAAAATAAAATGAAATGAAACCTAATATTAACATGGAATTCTGTATTATACGACGGATGCAAGTACTTGACATTGCGGTACCCAGACTAAGCACTGTACCTTAAAAAGGTCAAAAAGCAAGAAAATGAAAGCTCCATTCATTAAACCTCTGAAGTAGGCATGTGAGATCAGACTATATTCTAAAGTCTGAGAAGACAATAGAGATTAGTAGGGTATGAAGGAGTGGACTAAATATCTTGCCCGACACAAGATTTATTATTTGTCTTATCTCTAAACGTGTAGCACTTCTTTTCGTTATTTTATCCGTACACAAAAAAAATACATACGAAATAAAGAATTGTGTAGATTCAACATCAATTAAATTATATACAAGTGGATTGGCCTAAGATAGATATATAACGTAGTCGTAACAAAATTCGACGATTCTTCTACATCTTGTGATCAAGTCATTGCGCAAAGACTTTACACTGAGTCGTCCTACCTAGTCTTTAAGTTTAATTTAACTATTAAGAAAAATGGGATTGCTTTACATACATAGTTGGTTCTTGTTTTGTCATTAAGACGAAAATGTAGCTATTTTTTACTCGGAGGGTGATGAGGAGATTGATTTATTCAATCCTTGGATCAACTAACGCCCTATTTCGATGAAACCAAGATTACTCCTGCAAAGGATGAGAAGACAATGATTGTAGAGATTCTTGATGCCAAGATGAAATAACTTCATTTATTTGGGGGTAAATGTCCTGCATCCCTAGAGGAGCGATGCAATTGGCAAAAGGGTACATTTTATTAAATAGGATCTCAATTCTTACTGAAGATTAACAGTAAGAATATAGTAGGTACATAAAATCTTTATTATTTGCTTAATTATGTATAACTTCTGCTGTCATAAGGCTGTTCAAAACTAGTCTAATCAAACCTGCATTGAGCATTCAAAATTTAGAAATTGTTTTTATGCTCATGAAAAGCGTTAAATGAAATGTGTTAGACTGATGTTGCGTAAGAAGCTTTATAAGGTACTGTCGACACGAAAGTGACACGAGATTAAGAGCATATGCTAGCATTAGTTGACAACTTATCATACAAACCTAAAAGTTCAATTACTACATGTTTTTTCTTAATGATAGGGTACACTTGTTTTTATAAAAAGTGAACCATATTGGTCAAAAAATGGAAAAATAAAAAAAACCCGACTAGAATTTGGCAAAAAATAAATAATTTACACTTTAGCATCCAGTCTAATAATAAAATAGAAATAACTTGTACATTAATGCCATAGTTCAAAGAATCGTCTACCTGGGTTCAGGAATCTATATACCTGAAAGTTGTACATTTATAGCAGACTAGCAGTTAAATTTTTCCAGAAGCATTGGCCATTCTTGTATGAAGGAATTGTAATTTCAAGTGGGGTTAACTTAAAACTTCTAATATGCAGCCTGAGCATAGTAACACAATGCAATTCTCATCAAGATTCAAGGCTTCTCGAAAATTCTTGCAGTGACAAGTCAAAGTGAATTAGACGAACTGATTTTTACTCTCGTCTTTGTCGGAAAGCAATAGGGACAAGTCCAAGTGACGTTTCATGGGAGCCTCATACTTAATTCACATGCACTGGTCTCCTATATCGACATCAAATTCGGGACAGCAAGTCTGTCCTCTCTCTTTCTCTTTCCGCTTTAGGGCTCTACCTTATCTCTCACGCGGCTTCGTACACTATATAATCTGGCCAACGTGCAGAGGAAAAGGTCATCGAATCAGTTATATATTGATAAGAAGAACAAATAGAGGCATGGCAAAGTGTAGAACAAATGGCAAGAAAAAGAATGGCATTGAAATGCTTAAAATAGTGGTAGAAAAGCTACAGAAAAGTTTACTCTTAGGCGGGAAGAATTCTTCTGATTTGGATGAATTTGACGAAGAAATGAGGGAGTCGAAGAACTTGCCGAACGATGTGAAGGAGGGACATTTTGCGGTGATTGCAGGGGATGATGATGAATTGAAGAGATTCATTGTGCCGTTGAGTTATTTGACTCATCCATCATTCTTGAGGCTATTGGAGCAAGCTGCCGAAGAGTACGGGTTTGATCATGAAGGTGCACTCACCATTCCTTGCCGGCCAAGCGAGCTCGAACACATACTCGCGGAGCAATGGGTGGAGCAGAGGGATTCTAGGTTTCTTGTCAACTGGCCGGGCTCATGCAGGAAAACAATGCTCAAGAGCTGTTAATTATGTTTATTCCGTCCAAAGATTTCGATTTGTTCTTTAACATCTGTTGTATAGAAATCAGAACCTGGAGTAAAAGGAACAACTATCAATGCTACTATGACATATCATCGATGTTTAACACAATATGAACAATCTCGAATCTTCCTAATTTGGCATTTTTTTATATATACCAATTCTTAATTTG